AGGTCCATGCGGTGCCACCGAGCCAGGTGGGAGAGTTCCCCACTGGTCCAACCTGTTTCTTCCCCAGGAGATGAGAGCCTGAGGCCTGGGACCTTGAAGCAGTGGCAGCTGACCCTAGGTAGGACACCACAACCCCGCCTCTGTGGGGAGACAGGAGATGGAGGGCTAAGGGCCATTATCAGGTGCTGCTTGGCTGGAGCAGTGTTGCTGCAAGGTGCATGGCAGGGTGAGGCTGCGGCCTGGCCGCTGGCCCCTGGCACGGGGCACTGCAGCTGCCCTCAATACACTGCAGAGGGGAGCCGTGGGCTGTTGGCTGAGTCTGTCCCAGGAGGGCAACCCTCAGTAGTGGAAGAGTCACTCCAGACCCTTTGTGGGCATTTGGGACCCTCCCTGCAGCAGCACTGCCTGCGGGACCCTCACGGGGTGCCTCTGTCCCCCAGGCTGCTGGAGGAAGCCATGAGCGGGCAGTACCTGAGCAGCGACTTCTCCCTGCCCTGCCCTCCGGGGCTGGACATCCCCGAGGAGCAGCACTACACGATCACAGCCAACACCCTCAAGGTGAGCCTGCCTGCGGGCCGGGGAGACCGCCGGCTGGCGCCGAGCGGGGACACCCCGGAGGGACGGGAGGAGTGGGGACCTGCGTCGCTGGTCCTCCTGGCGCTGTGCCCTCTCCGCTGGGCGACAGCAGGGCTCTGGGGCGGTTGAGGGCTTTGTTTCTTAAGGGGTTTCCTCCTCCGCAGACCCTCCTGCTGTTGGGATGCTTTGCCGTGTTCTGGACTTTCTACTACACGCTGGAGGTTTGCCTGACCAGGAACAACGTGGGGCTTGACCTGACCTGCAACGGCTCCACCGTCTGCAAGTGGTACCAGCAGGGAGGGAAGCACAGAACCCTGGAGAGCGGCCTGGAGATGGAGTCTGTGCCGCTCTACCGCGAGAAGGACATCGAGGACGTCGAGATGGAGTGTGAGCATCCAGAGCCTGCCCAGGAGGACGAGCGGGAGGAGGGGGCCTGGCCCCCCACCCACCCCAAACTTCCCAGCAGAGCTGCGAGCTTCCATGAGACGGCCCCCGCCGGAGCAGGGTACCTTGGCCAGGAGGCGACAGCCAAGCTCCTCTCGGAGGACAGGGAGCACCAGACGTGCTAGCTGGGGCTGGGGCTTTGGGCTGCATCCCTCCCACTCGGTACGTCCTTCCCGAGCACGGGCAGCAGAGACTTCCTGAGCCACCAGGGACCATTGCCGTTGTGTCCTGCGGAAGGTGGTGTTGAAGTGGCTCAGAAACAAGGAGAAAGATGGCTGGCAGCGGAAGGGGAGCTTCCCTTTTCCTCGCTCTGGAAAACAAGGCAAGCCTTAAACCCATTCCTAATGGAGCCTACCCTGCAGCGACGCTCAGGGCTTCCCTTTGTGCGTGGAGCAAGGCCCCACGCCTATGCCTCCTGGGCGCGTAGCGGCCATCGTGGAGCTCCGCACGGAGTCCCCTGCACGCCATGGCTCCCACAGCCTTGCGGCGGGGGGAAGAAGTGTCGCTTTGTCCCTAATTTCTGCAGTGAGCCTGGAAAATGTGGCAGGGCCCTGGCAGCTGCCTCTGCAGGCAGGGACCTCACAGCACAGTCGTTTGCCTGCCCCGCTGGGCTAGGAGCTGGCCAGTACCCACCGGTTGCGCCCAGCTTAGAAGCAGGGAGTCGTTTTGCCCATCTCCAACCAGCGCTTGCTCCCTGTCCC